TTCTTACTGGTGAACGTCACACCAAAACCTGACATTTATCATCGTCCATCACAAGCTGTGTCCATTTAGTTTTACTGCTTGGAGCTTCTTAAAAAGTCACTGTTGCTGTTTTATGGTTCGTTTTGTTGCCGTGAAAACATTTTTGTCTTGTTCTGAGGTCTTTTGAGAATTTGTCATGCACCAAATATGCCAGTTCTCTTCTCTTGCAGCTGTCTTGGATTGCATTGGTGCCGCGCTCTTGCTTAATTAAGACGTTAAACTCTGTGTATGAAAACAATCCTCATAAATCTGTATCTGCCAGCCATGCTAACTGTGGAGAAGAAACGCTCAGTCACTCTGTGCCCTAAACCCTGACTGATGCAACATTTGCATTACACAGAACTGGAAGGGGACCCGCCCTGAACTATGGAGATCAGCCGAGTCTTTTCACCTCCTTGGTTCTCTGTTAAAACGCAAAGCTGTCGAATTGCGTTTGATTTGCAAAGGCACCTCGTGTGTTTCCCCCCCTGGAGGGCTATTGTTGTCACCCCTCATCTCAAATGAGCCATGTTTCCTGCTTTGTTGCAGCTCCCATGTGTATCCCGTCAACAAGCAGATGCAGGTGAAGGGGTAGTGAAGTAGCCTGCATGCTCTGAATAGACGCCTGACAATGTAAATCAGGGAGCGACGGCAGAGAAGATCCACTCCTGTCTGTGCCGATAGACGCCGGTCATTGTCAGGTTGAAAGCATTTGTCAAGTACGCGCGCTGTATTCCTTTGCGAAAAGCAGAAAGGCTCTGTTCATTTACCACATAGTAAAGGCCTATTAGCAGCCAATTATCCCTAATCAGTAAAAGTGTATACTTCTCCTCCTGAGATAATTCAGTTTGTGTCTGATAGAGATGAATTGTGATGGATCTTGTACAAGAGGACTGCAGATCAGAGGAAATGTGGCAAAATTAACTTGTGATTTAATAGGATTTCATGTTTGTGTTTGTTTATAAATGACATTGTATGGGCTTGATAGTCCACTAATGTTCGTATCATTTATTGAAACGGATAATGGACGATTCAGATTCTGCCCAGTTGGCTTTAACGTCCAGCTTGAGTTGGTTTTAGGCGTGTGCGAGCTAAAAAGACAGGAAAGATGTTGCTTGTTTTTTTGTTTATTTTCGTGCTTTATGTCAGTTTCTACTGCTACGCTGCAGTGTCTGATCCTAAGCTTTATTATAACATGTTGGAAAGCTGTTAAAGCTCGTCTCTGGTAATATATTTTGGTAATTGACTTTTGATCACCTCTTAATGAAATGCATATTTCCTGAACTGTGTGTGAATGATCTATTCAGATGGAGAGCTGAATTATTTATGCTTCTCTGGGTTGTTTTGTTCATCTTAGTTTTCAGTGATATCGTATAGACATAAGTATTGCAAATAAAATATTATTGCTCTCAACAAGGTGCAACTTCAGAGCTCTGTTTTGGAATCAATCAGAATCTGTTTTATTGTCATTAAACACTGTATAATGAATTTACACATGACTTTGCTCCTTATATACAAATAACAGTGATATGTACAGAAAATATAACAATACAGATATTTACAGAAGTATAAATAAGTAGTACAAAGTGATATTAGTGGTATTTATTTGGCAGAATTGCAGGTGAGGTAGAAGAAGCATTCGCTGCTAACCTGAGCTGCCTCTGATTGAAAGTCTCACATGTAGCTTTACCATCAAAGCTCATCTCCATTTAAATCCAGTAGCTGGTAGCAGTTACTGATACAACACAGACTTTTCAGACAGTTGTGAACATCATATTGTCTTGACATTTGCATTATTTTGGTGGGAAACTGTATTCAGGAAGCAGATCAGTGAAAAAGGACTGATGAATGGTGGGCACCACACAGGACCAGGAGTCTCATGGAAAATTAGTTTTACGACAGCTGAATTGACTATTTGTACAGATTGTAGATTATTCACACTGTGTGTCCATATATCCTCTTGTACGTGTGTTTTTAATCTTTGCATCTTTCATCATACAGAGTTCATTTGTTGTTGTTGTTATTGTTGTTGTTATAGTGACATAAATAAGCAGTTAAATGTGTCAAGGTATTATTTGAGTAGCGGTATGATATTATGTACGCTCATTTTACTGATAAATATGATCATGCCAGTAAGTCTTGATATTAAGCCAGGTCCTGCATCCTTTACAAGACGAATGCACCTTTTGATATCCTGCTTTTTGTGTTTTGCTGCCGTGCGTGGTTACTGAATCACCAGGTAGAGCTGTCAGCTCAATCATCACAATATCGTGCTTCCTGCTGTATGCTACGTACACGAGATCCTAAGCTTTGATAAGCATGAATGAACAATAACTAGCTGATTTGGTGTCTGCGTCTCTGTTTCACCTTAATTTTATCAATGCAAACCGTCTGCCTGTGACATTTGAATGAAGCTGGCTGTACAGTCCTAAAACAGGAAATTACTCATGTCTCGGCAGCATTTTGTCGGATCATAATCAAAATTGTTCTGTGGGTAGATAAGACCTTGATGTACCTGTGTGCAGTGTACCCAGCTTGATGTGCCTGTACTCGGCCCAAAGAACTGCAGCTCGCGGCTATATTTTGCTTCGTATTATTTTTATCACTTTGACAGTGAATAAAGCGCCGGTGCCGCTCTCAGACGAACATGGATGCCTTGTGTGGTTTCACTGAGCAGGGAGACCATATTTATGGACATGCAAATAAGCCTCATCTCTTGTTGTAGCAGCATGTCGACCTAATGCAGTGAATGAAAAATGTTATTCCAGTCAGGGAGCTCCCACACCAACAAGTCTTCTAATAGTGTTGTGTGTTGACACAAAGCCGGAAGATTACGTCTTTAGAATGAGGATGTTCAGACTGTGGTGTCTGAGGACCTGCTGCGTTCTTCACTAAAAATAAAATACTGCTTCCTAAAAACAGAAAAAAAGAGAGAATGTGTGCACAAGTGCAACTTCTGATAGTAAGTGGACGTGATTAAGCTTATATCCTGTAAGATAAATAAGTCTGGTAGTTGAGGGAAAATGTGCGTCTATAGAAACGGATAATGAAGTGACAGCTGGTTTAATTTGACAGGATCTAATACAACGCCCATAAATAAGTTTGTTGTAATGCACTTTTCTCCTACACTTTATGGCTGCAACATAAACCACATATGATATTTCAGTCCGCAAAATTTAGATGATCAGACCAGGATTTGAAAGTCTGCGATTACAGATCATCCCTTTTTTTACTCCGACTATTTCCTCTACTTTACACAGAGTGGTCAATAGTGAAAGTGACCAGGACGCCATTTCCCAAAACTCACTTCTCGTTTCGCAGTTAAAACCACAGACCAATATCCTGCCGTTCACTTTAGACATGGATTAGTATGCATGTTTAGTGATGACTAATCCAGTACAGCAAAATGCATAAAATCCCACTGTACATGATGTAATCATCCAAACCACCTCTGGATGCGATCTGAGACTCATTTGGCCACATTAGCAGCGAAGTGTAATTGTTTATACAACCCACTTAGGATGTAGGTACATGGAAATAAACTGTCTGAGCCAGACGGGACGGATATGCAGATCAGACAGGTTCTGGCAGTTTGTCGTCGGGGCGTCGAGACACTTGTGGAATTAGGAAAAAGAAACACGGAGGGCCACGTTGTCGGTTTATGGGGATGCAACTGTTGACAGAGATAAAGTGGATTTCGGTGTGTGTGCTGGAGACGCCTTAGCTCGCTTCGTTTTAATTCACTTGATAAAATGAAGCACACCTATCTCGCTCTCTGTTTGAAACAAAACTGTACCCGCTGTGTGCTTCTGTGTTAGTATAATACCATTTAAACCCTCCTAACTGTTGAGTGATTTTGGTGGAGAGGCTTTGAAAACATAAGATGTGTACAAACAGTTTTGCTTTTTCCTTAGAAGCTGTTGCACTTGAATGAAAGTATCTGGAAGATGTGTGTTGTGATTGTCTGCCGTTGTGTGTTTTAAGCTGATCTGGACACAAAAACTCATCAAAACATTTCAAACATGCTTCTCAGGTGTGCATCTTTGGCAGAGGTATGCATTCTCCTAGATGTAGTTCTGTGTATGAAGCAATGTGAAGGATGCATATAGGCACAATACGGAGCTCTTTCATGGTTTTCTTTTATTTATTTTTATTACTGAGAGTTTGTGGCAGCAACACACCATCCCAAAGTAGCAACACACCAACAACAGCAGCTGGAAAGAAGCAAACATTTAATGCACATTTTTAAAACTCATCCTTTGAAATGTTTTATGAGGAAAGAAATCCACGCAGACTTCCAAGAGACTTAAAATACAAACCTCATTGTGAGGCCAGCAAGCCATGTTCTTAATCAGGAGGAAAATTTATTTATTATGGTTGTTAAACACCATAAAAAACCCAGCTGTGGCTTTTGAAGGTACGTTATCCTTACAAAATAATCACCATTAATCAGAAGCAGGAACCGTAAAAACACAACGAATCATCAGATTTTCAACCTTGAAACAGCGCTTGAACTAATCATCAGTGACTTTTGGTTTGGTTTGGGAAATTAACCGTCAACTGAAAAAAAGCCACGACTCAGCTGGGACCAAGCGTCATGTTTTCCAAAGTTGAGGGGACTGAACTGAGTAAAATAAATAACCAAAGAAATTCAACTTTTTGTTTGTGGTTTATGCCATTACAACTGTGTCATAAAGCACAGAAGACATCTCTGAGTCTCCCTAGCCACAGTTGTGCTGTTTCCATAGAGATGGAGGACTTTATATTGCAGTAAAGTCTGAGCCCACAGTGAGCAAAAATGTGACAGGAGCAAAAAAAAAAGGTTCAAACTCCAGCATACACACAAGGAGTTTCAGCAACAAACACTGGGTGCAAATAGAAAGCTTGTTTGCAAATGGAAACTGCACAGAGTACGTTTGCAGCAAGTTATTTTCACGGCGTGTTTAATCAAAATGTGTCTCTGTGTTTGCTTTGCCTCGCAGTAACGGAGTGGGGGGATGACGTGAGGCCCATCTCCGAAGAAGAAGCCATGGTCATCGTCAACCACCAGTCCACAGGAGACGTGTGCACGCTCATGATGTGCCTGCAAGACAAGGGCACGGTAAGGAGAGGCGGAAACACGTCGCCTTATTCTACCTCTTCTAGGAACTCCAGGAGTGTAAGATGTTGAAGTTACGCCGGTGACATGAGTGTAAATAAAAAGCGGTGCCTCAGTTTTTATGTGCAGGCCTTTCTGTGGTGTTTGTCGCTTTGTCACTGCAAATAAGTAACTCCTGTAGAACTGCAAACAGTGATCCAAAAAGCCTTTCAGCCGAAGGTTAATGTGGATAATTCTAGTTTATTTCAGCATAAATGTGGCTGCTGTTGGTCTGTGGTTCACACTAACTTCACACTCTGCTCTTCTATTTCGGAAATGTCATTAATTGCACACAACCACAGATATCGGGGTGACTACAGCTTGTTCCATAAATAATTTTAAATGTTTGTTTTTGACTCTGATTGAAACTTAGCTGCTGCTGCTCACGCTACTCGCTCCAACAGACGCCGTTCACGCACCGTTTTGTGCAGCTCATCATTTCCCTGAATCTTTGCAAAGGAGGTGCAGAGTGCAAAGTTAGCCACATTAATAGGAAATACACCAGGTTTAGTTATCCTTTAAAGCTGCATGTCAGCGGTCAACCAGTGTTCAGTTTGTTTTACTAAATGAATGCTGCACAGAAGTCTTGGACGAATGAATGAAATGAAAAGTCCTTGAATTTGAATCGTCCTTCACTATTTTTAGTCATTAAATGATAACGTTTGAACTCCAGGATTCAATGTTTTAATAATTAGCTTCTTTTTTTTCGTGTTCCTCGGTTAATGTTTAATGTATTTCGTCCATTTCACGTGTTAACTTTCTGACAGCCCGTTTTGGTGTTTTGCTGTTGTCTGGGTTTTTTTTTTTTGTAGTTCAGGAAAGCTCCTTAGTGATGGGATGACGCTGTGATGATGCTTTTCAAGTCAAAACAGCTGAGGCAGTAGTAGAGACGTACGGCAGTGCAGAACAGTGCTGTGGTTCGGTGCATTCAAATCGCAAAATGTGAATTTGCAGCCGAGTTCTCGGAAAGCCGACAACAAACGTGCGAGGAGTCAGGTGGCGGCTGCTTTGCATTCTTTCATTGTAAGAAGGCAGCAAGAGAAACCTGCACAAACGTCACGCCTCTATTTCAGGGCCGTATTTGTTAATGTGGTCGACACAGATTCGACAGAAAAAGACGCGCCATGTGTTCCTGCAGAACTTACACAGTTGTTTGGCAACATAAACATGAGTACAGATCAGGGGGCAGCTGTGTTGTTGTGTGTTTGCTGTTTTTGTTTTTGTTTTTTTTGGCTGAGGCCTGGCACTGCACCGGAGCGGCCGAGCTGCAGTGCACAAACATGATGACATGATCCGCCTCAACAACTGCATCCCTGGCCCAGTTTATCCTCTTAGCACTGAAAGGACAGTAAGCCAAAGCTGCATCGGCACAGGTCATGAGGGTGGAAATGCTCAGAGGGGCGGTATCAGTTTGGGGCACTGACACCAAAGCCAAAGTCTTGTGCTCGTGCTCAGGGGAAACCATAAAACTGGGCAAAAACTATGAGGTGTTTATTACAGATGTGTTTTTCTTCTGCCTTTTTTCAGGTGGTACGAAAAATGATGTGGTTGATGGACCATGTGTTCAAATACACCAACTTTGGCGTAGTGTCCCTGATCCACGGGGACTTCTTCATCAGACAGGTAAGAGACCCAAAGCTGACACCTCCAAGGCCTTTGTATGTTTGCGTTTTGCATTAATACGTTTGCTTTTGAACACACCCTATATTTAGCCATTAACATTAACACGCTCTGCTTCACATTCTTAAGCTGCCCAGCCCTTTTTTTTTTTTGGTCGGCATATTGGCCTCAAAGGCTGCAGCAGCACTTGCCGCTGGAGGATAAAAGACTATTTTCCCTCACTTGTCAACACTTTGTTTTTTCCCTGAAGGTCTGAGGATTAAAGCTACAGACCTTTAGGCTATAAGCCAACTCATTCAACCACAGCTACTAGTGGCCTGATTTTACTGTGCTCTCCAAAAGTGGGAGTTGCTACCCATCTGCTTGTTCCAGCTGGACAGCAGATATGTTCGGTTTCCTGCAGCCATGATGTCCAGAGAAGGCTGACTGCAGCGGACAGTAGTGTGGGAGGACTGCTGGGCCCCCCTGGGTCAGACTGAGACCCTTTGTTGTGGGGGCAGCTGAAGCAGACCTCTGACAGGCCTGCACATGGAGCCAACAAGGCTCCTACTGGTCCAAGGAATTCCTGGAAAATCATGTTAATAAGAGGCCGAGGTCACCGATTCGTTTTAGATTCAGTGTATACAAGAAACTAATGGGATACTTCCTGTGTAACTACAGCGCCTGACAAAAGACTACAGCGTGATAGAAACTATATTTTGTTGGACTTACGCTGCACAAGAATAAGTTCTGCAGTATTACAGATCACAAATACACCTCAGATGTGTCCAACATGCAGCACCTTCAGTTCATCATGTCAGTAAATAAAGATCTTTAATCCTCTGAAACCCAAAAACGTCACCAAATGTAAAAGACATGATTTTTTTTTAATTTTTTTAATTTGATCGCCGAAATGACACCATTTATCACAGAGAAACTGTAAAAACTGAAAGAATCATGATGATGATTTTCACCTTTCCAACAGTCCTTGAACGAGCTAAGTGGACTTTTAGTTTAATTTGGAGAAACAACCAAGTCTATAAGCTTATAAACATATTTGTTTAGCATCACTCACATTTACCTGTTAGATTCACTCTATGGACAACCTAAACGATGTACGTAATTATAGTTGTATATTACATTTGTAAATGCATGTGGTGAATGTGATCTGTGAGGACATCAAGCAACTTCCAGGTTTTGTTAAACGTGCAGGATTCGATCCACATGACTTCCTCACTGCCGCCAAGAGCCGGCCCCTAAACACACAACGTACATGTGTAGGACAGGGAAACAATTAACAAAAGGGAGAGACACAAGGGCAGCATGCACCCCACCATCTGGTGTCAGGAAACACCAGGACTCATGACAGTCTGGTGAACTCTGGCAGGTGCGCATGTACTGTAACTGCACACAGTTTAGGAGACTGCTGCGAGTCAGGACAGCTAACGTAGCGCCCTGTCATTTGCATTACTTTATGACCGAAGATAAATGTAGCCTCTTTCACACAGTGCTGAAAATAAAGAACCAGCCCTGCTTCTGCATATCAGAAACCATCTTTTGTTCAAATGCATGTCTCGTTTTTCTCATCGGACAAATTTTCCTTGTGATGCTAAACAGGACTCGCTCGCACCGGCTCCCGTTGGGCAAAATGAAAGCGCTGCTGATGGGTGGGGTTGTCTCTGTCGATAACAGAATGTGTTTGTCCACATTTGTTTCGTCAGGAAAATTAATGAAAAAGCCCGCACGCCCAGCTCTCACTTTTTCAGCTGCGGAAACAGCACGACAAGAGGGAATTAAATTTTTTAGGTCATGGAAATGCTTCGCCACGGAATTTCACATCAGGCACTGTGCCGAGGGTGAAGCACCCTGAGCCTGCTCGCAGCCAGACGGGCCTGTAGTGGAAAGTCTGAGCAGGCTCGCTCATTTCTGCCATCCTCTTTTCTCCGTGATCCCCTCTGGCATTCTTGCGAGTGCATTCTTGACGTCCCTCCTCAGAATACTTCACACATCCACACAGCGCTGCAAGCAGCTGCCCCGGCCACCCGAGCATCTGCTGTCCAGTCAGGCTGGCGGACACGTCTCCAGCATCATTATGCACAACACCGCGCTTTGATGGCAGTCGCACACTTAGGCCTCTTTACTTCATTTTGTCATCAAGAGAACTTTGAGATGAGAAGCATACCTTGAAGCTGCATTTATTGTGTTTAATGTGAGGACGTACTCGGCATTCACTCAGATAAAGCACGTCACTTCACAGCTATCGGCGGCAGTTGACATGTTTTCCGCCACTGAATTTGCCAAGTAAGGTGATACTAAATGCATATATTAATGTGTGTTTTTACACATTACCGGCAGGTTCGAAAGGCGCCTTGTCTTCGAAAAAGAATCATCAAAATTATCATCAGAGCTAGAAGCCGTGAAAGCAGAGAGAGTCGTCACGTTTTAAGCTTCCCGATGGTCCTTGAACTACTCGTCTGTGGGGCAACGTTCAGTTGAGAAGTTCTTGACATGTCAAAATCACTAATTCTACATGCTTCGTTTAGAAATTTGCTGCTCTTCGTTGCAACTGGGAAGCCAATAGAGACTCTGCTACAACCAACAGAGACTTTTCAGCTGAATCGGGCTGAACTGCAGGCTGTGTTTTTAAAGATCAGAGAGGAGACAAGAGTGAAAGCAAATTATAAATGTAAGCAGTAAATTGTATTGTAACACTTCTGGGCGCGAATAAAATGTCGTACATGTTGTTTCAAAGTTTTTTCAATTCTTGTAAAATAGAAAATATAGGATTTAGTTTTATTTTTCTTTAACTTTATGGCCTTGTGACTTTGTCGTGCTGTACATAAGACATTCCTGAGTTCCCTTTACTTCTCGCTGTGCTGTTTCCATAGAGGTGCACTTTATATTCCAGTGAAAAAATAGCACACAGTGATTTAGAAACATAACAGGAGCCTCTTGGGTTTCAGAGGGTTAATTCTAATCACCGTTAACAGCCTGGCTAAATCACAGTAGATCATAAAAAGTTTGCCTCAGAGATGACTTTTATATGAAGTTACACCCAGATGGTTATTTGTAGACGTTCACTATTTGGCACTTTGTCAGCCGTGTGAACTTTTGACCCATCGTGTCATTTGCTTATCAAATGGAGCACTCTTCTTTAAGGCCTTTGAATATTCACAGTGATTACTCCTTCAATCATTTACTAACGCAGGTACACTACAACAAATGTTGTCCAATGCTACAGATTTTCTTCGTGGTCACTTTGGAGGCTGCAGTTTGTGGTGGTGTTGGTTTGTGTTACTTTAACTGATGTCAGTATTTCATTCATCCTATTTACGGTATGCGACAGAAGTGAGTTTATCCCATTAAAGTTCATTTTATCAACCTCTAGTAACTGCTCCACAACATTGTAAAATGAGTTTATATTTGATATATTAAAAATACAGACTCTAGAAACTCAAAGCAGATTTAAATCTTTTATCAATACTTCATATGTCCACCGTAATGTTAATGGCGTGCCTTAAAGTTCTGGAGAGATGTTGTGTCATTCTTTGGAGACATTTTTCCTGGAGAGGTGGTGTTGATCTACCTGCGTGGAGTCTCCATGTTCTCCCCGTGCAGCGTGGGTTCTCTCCGGGTTCTCCGGCTTCCTCCCACAGTCCACAAACATGTTGAGGTTAATTGGTGATTGTAAATTGTCCGTAGGTGTGAATGTGAGTGTGCTTGGTTGTCTGTCTCTAAGTGTAGCCCTGTGATGGACTGGTTACCTGTCCAGGTGAACCTGCCTTCACCCTGAGTCAGCTGGGATAGACTCCGCCCCCCATAGTGAGGATTAAGCGGTGGATAGATGATGATGGATGGATGGATGGTTTTCACTGAGGCTCGGTGTAGCAGTGGTTATCACTTTTGCCTCACAGCTAGAAGGTTTTGGTTTCAAATCTTGGTCTTTCTGCGTGGAGTTTGCATGTTCTCTCTGTGCTTTAGATCGTTATCATGTTGAAATATTCCACTTTCGTTAAGTTTCAGCAGATTGGGAGCCACCTCGTCAGCCAGTATTTCGGTAAAGCCACAGACGTTTATAGTGCCACGAGGCATATGTCGTCTCTCCAACACATTTTCCACTCATGCAGCCCCATGACACTCCCATTCAGTGCTTCACTGCTGGAACTATACATTCACTGTGGTAGCCAGGTTCCGGCCAAATCTGCTGGATGACATCTGAGCCAAATGCACTTCCTGCATGGTTCAAGAGTGCTGACATTTAACATGCATTTGTGTGTGTGTGGAAAAAGCAGTATGACAAAGTCCTGCCCAAGTAGCCTCAGTTTATGTATTTATTTATCTTTTCTAGATTAATAACAACAATGATGCCATCACTGCACAAAACCAATCATGCTATTTTCATATTTAAATCTCTTTCAGTGAGCGTGTTTGGATTCACACAATGTAATGCCAGTAATACTGTCCTCCACTCCCACAGTCTCTCTTGTTTACTAGACTTTAATAAGAAACTCCTTAATTTCAGTACCTTTAAGTGTCGGCCAGCAACGTGATTTGACGTAATCGGAAACAAACCATAAACATGCAGACAGCAGCCAGTGTTTACAAAAAGGTAGCCTGCTTGTAATTTGCTAACCAGGTGATGTGGGCGGTTCCTTTACTTTGTTGGAAATCTTTCTCATTTCCAGGATTAATGATGAAACTAAATCTAAAGTCTGCTGTTGATTTTCACAAAAGAAATAGTCTTTGATAACTGCAGTAATGTAAAAAACATTAGTTACAAAGTTCTGTATGTGCTCAGTCCTTAGTTTGTTGACTGAGGAGCACATGGGGGAAATGAAAGCATAACTTCTGTTCATGCAGCTTTACGATGACGAGCACGCCGGGGGTTTTTTTTTCTGGGACGCTGTCCATTGAGGTTGACGTAATGCAGTGTCCTTGCACTGTCTAAGCTGTCACAGAAACCTCGACTTGCTTCGATGACCCCTGTGCCAAGTCTGAAGCACTTGCCTATCTCTTTTTCAGAGCTAGATTGTGCGTGCGGTGTCTGCAGCATCCATCATTTATAACTGATGGCTGCTGCGCCTCTGATCAGTGGAACTATAGCTTGTTCCATACGTCCTGATTACTGCTGCTACTGGTTCTCAACTAATTTTCAACTGGTCACCTGCATCCTGTTTGCATCTTTGTAAAGTCTTGAAATCAGATCTTTAGCTCCTCTGGCAAGTCTTTTCCCATGTGGAACCATGATGCAGATAGACACAGCCCAGAAGATAGGTTCTGAGTTCACAGATCATTTTATAGCCATGAAAATCATTTAATCATAGGCGTGCTTAGGTTGGCTTCAGCTTTTTGAACTTGTATGCCAGTGACCGTTGGTATTTACTTTTAATGCATTGAGTTTCTACTTTCATACAGTCATTCTGAAGCAGTAGTTTGTCCTTACATCAAAATATTTAATTGTTCATATTAAATATAATGTGTTTATTGAACCTTGATACCATTTAGAATCAATTAACATTTAATTTAAATAATACTGGGTGTACTCACATCTTTTGTTTATGGTCAATCTGAGTGAAAACACGCTCCACACAGTAGATAACCAAATACAATCAACAGCAAGTCAAACTGCAGCCTTCAAATCAACCGCTGGAACAAGTTGAACCAAATCTTCTCTGCAACAGTTATTACAGCACTGTTGTATTAGACTACATTAGTTTTACCTCGGTGGCCCTAATAGGACGACAGCTGAGCGAATATCCTCGGTTCCAACTGACTAAAGCATGCGGAAGCGTAGCTGGAAGGAGGCTGAGCAGGTTGTTCACTTCAGAGACAGATGGCCTGAGATCAGAGACCTTCAGCTGTGAAAACACCAGCTGATAAGTCAATCAAATCACATCCCAAGTCCGAAATTATTCCATTTTTTTAAATTGTTATTGTTGAAAGATTTGTCGTCTGACTTTGGGAAAGCAGGAGAAGCGCTCTCCTTCTCCCCACTGCACGGACAGCAGGACTCTAGAAGCAACAGCGTGAAGTACACCTTCTTGTATCTGCAGCAAAACTACAGCAACAGTCTCAAGGTCGTGTTTAGGTTTGTGATGTTTTGATCCTGCTAATGCACGTCTGCAAATCAGAGACACTGTAGCTGTGGCTAAAAATAATTCTTCGCTGATTTTCGTTGTGGCAAAGTAACGGCGTCGCTGTAACTGTACTTGTTCAAAGTGCAGCAGCTACAGTCCAGACAGCTGCATGAACAAACACATGTGGTCACGTGACCCGCCCAGAGACCAGCCCGACTATACTAATACGTTTAAAACGACTTTTGACCAGGCCTAACTAAAAATCAATCCCACTCCTCCTCATCCTGTCCCTGCTAATGCCCTTAATGTTGTCAAGGCCATCATGTTTTTGCATCCGTTTCAGTCGTGCCTTTAATGCAGCTCGTGTTCCTGCAGATATCTTATGATTTGTGTTTGTTAAGTTGTCTTCGTTTGTTTAATGGTGACTCTCTATCTTATCAAGTTAATTCATTTATCCTCCATTGTTTTGTGTCTTCGAGGCAACTGTGGAAGATAATTGCACGTGTTTAGACTCTGAACCGCTGCTATCGCTCTCATTTTTCCTCACTGTGGGATAATATTTAACTACATAATAAAAACATTCCTGCGCAACAATGGCTAGAAGTAGAGAGAACTGGAAAAGATATTTTGGGCACTAAAACAATTTTACCCCCCC